TGACTGACTGACTCTTTTGCGATTATTATCAGGCATTCTGGTCACTAGGGAGGAGACCAAGGATGTTGAGGTGTTGCAGTTGTTAAATCAGTTTCTTAATGAAAATCTGGGCTATTCCTCCTTGTTACTACTGCTCCATATAAGATGTGTATCCTGCTTTCAATCGAAGACAAGTAAGAAGGCCAGCTGTGGGTCGGGTTCTTGAAGGCAAATATAGAGATACATTTCTGTGACCTGACCATTTCCTAGCTGCAAACAAGGAAAAATAACTATGAGCCAGCGGACTTGGCACTGCACTACGCAATCCTGAAGGGTAGAATACGGAGGCCGTGCAACAATGCCAATGCATGTGGTCTTCTTTCACATTATGCCGAGTGAAACGGGTTTTCTGCTCATTGGTTAGTGGCAGTTTCTGTTGCCTAGCTACTTTCCTCAGCATTTCTGCATGCACGCCTGTACCTGGTGCCGCCAATTCTTCGGTAGTAGCAGCGGTTCAGTTTGTGTATTGCCGTTGCCTCTTGTGATAATCCATAAAAGTTGTAATCATTACTGAGCAATATACAAGTATGTGTTCCTCATTGTTCAGCAGGCATGATGAGCTCTGTTCATGAGAGCATGGCCATATGCTGCCAGAAACCCAATCTGGAATTATATTGCTGTAAATTAAAGATTGCATTTGATGAAATCGTGATGAAATTGGTGAGCCGAGCTGTGTTCCCGTTACACATCAGAATCAGAATGTACTATGTAAGTTAGCTTCTGAATATTCATCCAATAATGAAGAGTTTCTTTTTTGTTCCAAAAAACATATGCTTCTACAAAAGGAAATAATTGTGTTTTTTTTTCTAACCTCTCCCATCACAGAAAAAGGAAAATCTTCAAAGTTCTGGTTCAAACATTTAATTCGATCGGAATTTACAGATAAGACTAATAAATAAATAAAACAATTGCATATTTACTGAAATTTCTCTATTTGTTCCTCCAATGACAAGTGCACGGCCAGGAAGGCAGTGTCAGACAGGGGCTGCCATGTCCAGTAGTACAAGCAGTGGACAACAACAATAGCACGGCCAGGAAGGAAGGCAGTGTCAGTTCCAACTCTTTTGAAGCTTAGAGTCAATATGTGTCATAACCTGTTTCTTTTGCCCGTGAAGACTGGAGGAGGATTGTGGGACCTCAAGATGCTGCAATCATTTTCTGCATCAGCTTGTCACTTATATGAATCAGAATGGCATTCTGGTCACATGATGTTCTCTCAGTGGCCCACGGAAGAAATAGGATCTCACACCATCAAGCCTTTCCCTCCTTCCCTAAGTAGTCTTGATATTACCTCAGACTCAAGCATCAAGTCAATGACTCTGCTATCAAACCTCACGTCTCTCACCCATCTACATCTGATAGGTTGTCGAGAATTAACAATGGATGGGTTCGATCCCCGCATCTAGGGGTGCGGAGCGGCGCCCGATCCGCCCCGCTTCCTAGTCGAAGTAGATCGCCTTGGTTATAATTTTCTTAGTTCAGCTTTAGTTCATTTTGTACTAAATATCTGTTTTGGCGGGCTTATGCGGGACGCCCGCTTGCATCCCTATAGTAGAGGCCTCTCATATAAGCCCGCCAAAGCATCATGAACTTGGCCTTCCGTGGGGTGCCTCAGGACAAACATGTAGAGGGCCGGAAGTCAATGAATATGTGAAGTCAAGGGCACTCCATAACCAATATGTGAAGTCAATGACACTGACGACGAGCATCATGAACTTGGCCTTCCGCAGCGCGCTTGCAAGGCACGCCACATGTTAGAGTTGTGTCGAATATTATTGTACAAGGTAGGTTACAGTTAGACTAGAATTTGAACAGTGTGTAGATAGGATATGGAGTCGTGTCCAAGTAGGACACTTGTATCCTAGGCCTCTCATATATAGAGAGGGTGGACACACCATGTAACCTATGCCAACATAATAGCACAGACACGTGGGGTAGCCGGCGGTGTGTGCTGGCGGCCGGTGTGTGTTATTGTGACAGTGTCATGGGGGTGGAGCACCCGTAGTTATGTCCTGGGGATGTAGCCATATCGGTGAACCTCGTTAACAAATCTCGGTACCGTGCTCGTGTGATTGCTTGATCCTCGGATGATCGATGGTATATGCCTCATATATTATTCTAACAAGTGGTATCACGAGCTATGGTTGCGAAGAGGCTGATCTAGAGGAGGGCGATGAAGAACGTCTGATAACTCAGCTGTGGTGGTCGGAAGAGTTTTTCGATGGGCGTGAAAATTGTCGGAGGAAAAGCAAGCGGAATCAACTTGTGGATTGCAAGTATTCACAACAACATCTATTCCCTCTGTACCGAAATGTAAGTCGTTAAAGGTTTCTATGTACAAATCTCGTCACGTTACGAAATTTTTGAAGTTTCCCAAACTTCCCTCCCACCCGACAGCCCACTCGCCGCCCAGATCCCTCCCTCGTCACCCACCTCCCTCCCGGATCCCCTCTCTCGTCGCCGGCCTTTCGTCCACATCGTCGCCGGCCTCTCCTCTCCTCCCACCACGTCTTCTTCCATGGCCTGCGCCAGAAATCCACCACCCCCGAGGTCCAAAGATCGATATTTTAGGCGCCGGCGACGAGCTTCTGGGCGGCGGCGGCCGGTGGCTCGTGCGTCGAGCCCGTCGCCCTGCTTCCCTCCGACGACCCCGACACCACAATGCTGCAGACCCCATGTGGGAGAGGCCGACGCACGCGAGGATCCTCATCCGTGACGACAATGCCGGCGCATCATCGGCAAGGCGGGATCCTCCATCGCCGCCATGGAGGCCGGCTCCGGCGCCCACATCAAGCTCTCCGGCAGGGGCCAGCTCCTCCTCGGCACCGACCATCGCGTCGTCTTACTCTCCAACCCCTTCCGCGCCGTCATGGACGCCACCGAGCTCGTCCTGGAGAGGATCCTCTACCAGGTAATCAATCAAACAGATGTCCAGGCTACTCTTTACTCCATGCTCTTTACTGTCGATGATCGATTCAGAGTTCGATTTAGAATTGATTGTCTGCTGTGCTTGCAGGGCGTTCGGTTCTGAGTTCGATTCAGAGTTCCAATCCTCTGTTGTGCTTGCAGGGCGTTCGGTTCAGAGTCCCAACCCTCTGCTGTGTTTGCAGGGTGACCAAGCGATCGAAGCCAACGCCACGGTGGTGCTCGAGGTGCCCGACGCCTGTTGCGGCTCGCTCATAGGCAAAGGAGGCACGCTCATCAAGTATGCTCTGCTGAAATGTGAATCATCTGCTGTGGAATTGATACTAGGCACATTACACATTCTGGCCATTGTTCTGCACTACAACTGACCTTCTATTGACTAAAACTACACTTTAGGAAGGACCTTACAACTTGGCCAGAGATAGTTTCTGACTAACTCTGGAATTGTCAGTGAGAAATTTAGCTCGTCATGGATCATTTTAGCTTGGAGTAACAATCCTACTTTAAAGTCTTAAACTATCTCGTTTGAAATAACTCGGTGTTAGTATTTCTTGCTGCCTGCAGTTTAATGTGCATGCCAGAAGAAATAATGCATGTCGCGTCCCTGTTTAGCTAACTCTAAATTGCAAGCATTGAGTTTTCACTTAAACCTACATAAAACTTCGACTATTCTTGGATTTATGATAACTTCAGACAGTTTGATCTCGTTTTGTTCTCTATCATGCAGTGCCATTAAGCTGAATAGTATGAATTCAAGTGTTCACAATGATGCTCTCATTGATCCGCTAAGTCCTGCTGGGCAAAAACTTTCTCCACTTCTACGCATTCAATCTCGACAGATTCAGCCGAGCATGAGAATTAATTGTCCTTAATCCAATTGTATGTATATTTTATTCTTGTTATCAGTTACCATATGTCCTGCATCTAAAATTAATTGATATCTGTACCCACTGCTGCTTGGTAATTTTATTGTTTTGACTTTCTGAAATATCAGTATGAGAAATGAACCAACTAGTCTAACAGGGCATCTGATCTTTTTCTACCTGTTGAGGGTACTGAAAACATTAAGTCTTTTAACTAATTATAGTCACTTAAATGACTCAGTTGCTGCCAAGGTTAGATGATGCACCTTAATAGTCCAGAGGCCTATCTCTGTTCTCGAGCTATTTGGTTGTGGACCTTGTGGCAATACTTGCAATCAATTGATTCAGTTCAACAATTGGACATTTTAACCAACTTCACTAGCTAGAGATTTGCTGGCATGATTCATTCATTATTGTAAGCAATCATATTTTTATAAGATACACAATCTCATTGAATATGGCAATGATAAAGCTCAGTTACATTTTACCGCAATGACATGCCTCAACTATAGCAAAAATTAGTCTGGTATGCATCTGTAGTGACTAGAGCTCTGTAAAGCAATTGTTTCTATCCTGTTAGTTATTCAGTT